AACGTGGATACTTGAATTCATTCTAAACATTTACAGGTAGATAAAATTAGGAATAAGGAAATAAGCTACAAGGAAAGGCTTATGTAACTTGACTTCACCACGTGACAAGATTACAGCATAATGTTTCTTAAAAGCATTCGCAAAGTGAAGAGAAATTTAATGTTTAAACGTGAGTGATGGAAGAACATGAAAATCTGACCGGAACGTGTATACTCAGATGAAGAACAGAAACGTTAGGAAACATGTTCTTAGAGGAAGAGCAGTGAACAGGTGTGTCAACAGACCTGAACTAGTGGGTAACGAACGCTAACTGTTGTTGTTGTTGTTATAGATTCAGCTACTTAGATCAAGTTCCAAGTAGCACGGGCTATGGTGAGCCCGTAGCTTACCTGGCACAGGAGCAGTGCTGTGTGAACGCTAACTATTATTCGGTTTCAAGATATGTGATATCAATCAAAACGGGACACAGAAGATGAAATTCGCCCTTCAAGGACCTATAGGTGAATAAACACACACACACACACACACACACATATATATATATTATATATATATCTATATATATATATATATATATATATATATTATATATATATATATATATATATATATATATATATATGTCGTACCTAGTAGCCAGAACTCACTTCTCAGCCTACTATTCAAGGCCCGATTTGCCTAATAAGCCAAGTTTTCCTGAATTAATATATTTACTATAATTTTTTTCTTATGAAATGATAAACAACCTTTTTCTCTATGTATGAGGTCAATTTTTTTTTTATTGGAGTTAAAATTAACGTAGATATATGACCAAACCTAACCAACCCTACCTAACCTAACCTAACCTATATTTATAGGTAAGGTTGGGTTAGGAAGCCAGAAAGAGCAAGGTTAGGTTAGGTTAGGTAGGTTAGGTAGACGAAAAAACATTAATTCATGAAAACTTGGCTTATTAGGCAAATCGGGCCTTGAATAGTAGGCTGAGAAGTGCGTTCTGGCTATTAGGTACGACATATATATATATATATATATATATATATATATATATATATATATAACAAGACTTCTCCACCCCCTTACATTTTCTCTCTCTCTCTCTCTCCTCTCATCTCCTCTCCTCTCTCTCTCTCTCTCTCTCTCTCTCTCTCTCTCTCTCTCTCTCTCTCTCTCTCTCTCCCTCTCTCTCTCTCATTCTCTCAGTTCTTTTGATGCCTCTCGAGAGACTGAGAGGCAAACTCATCAAGGCCTCTTGTGTACAGCATCGTGAAGCCTTCTCACCTAAAATAACCACACACGGGCTTATAGAAACCGTCTGAAAGAGAAGCCAAATTAAATATACACAATTTCTTGAGAAAAAGAACTAAAAAATTGCATTTTTCTATAATAGAAGCCGCAATATTGGATTTGTTATCTACTAATTAAGTAAATTATGTATATAATTGATTACTAGGAAAAAGTGAATTTTTTATCCCTAGAAACGTGATTTTTTTATCCTTAGAAACGTGAATTTTTTATCCTTAGATTAATTAAAAAGCATTTGTTGTAATTTGAGTAATTACAACACATTACTTGTTGTAATTTGTTGTAATTTAACAAGTTTAATTTAACTGTTCGTTTTGAAACTATGAACAATTAAAGATTTTTTTACCACAGGAGAAAAAGAAAATTTCCTTGCAGAAATAGTAAGATAAAAATAAGGCCTTTAAAGGAATGTCTCTGTTCTCTAATATTATATCCGGAATATCCTATTTAGAAACCGCTGCTACGTAAGATTCATCCCCTCTTTTCTTTGTTTGCTTTAGCTCTGCAGGATACGAAGATGATCAAGAATTGCTAATAAAGAGCATGATAGAGGCAGGGGGGAGAAGAGACGTGGTTGTGCACGTGATTGTGAATATGTGTATTGAACCCATACTTACATGACAACCTCCAGATGGGGCACACACACACACACCAAAGGACACACACACTTATTATACATATTATACATAGCATAAACTAACCCAATCTGACCTAAGAGTCAGGACGGCTCTTCCAGATAACGATCACTGTTCGAAACTCCTGTGAACGAATTTATATATATATATGTCGTACCTAGTAGCCAGAACGCACTTCTCAGCCAACTATGCAAGGCCCGATTTGCCTAATAAGCCAAGTTTTCCTGAATTAATATATTTTCTCTAATTTTTTTCTTATGAAATGATAAAGCTACCCATTTCATTATGTATGAGGTCAATTTTTTTTATTGAAGTTAAAATTAACGTAGATATATGACCGAACCTAACCAACCCTACCTAACCTAACCTAACCTATCTTTATAGGTTAGGTTAGGTTAGGTAGCCGAAAAAAGTTAGGTTAGGTTAGGTAGGTTAGGTAGTCGAAAAACAATTAATTCATGAAAACTTGGCTTGTTAGGCAAATCGGGCCTTGCATAGTAGGCTGAGAAGTGCGTTCTGGCTACAAGGTACGACATATATATATATATATATATATATATATATATATATATATATATATATATATATATATATATATATATATATATATAGGACCTCCCAGAGTGTGTTTACCATGGACCTGGTACATCGTAGAGACATGCGGGCCTCAATCAAACTCATCCCTGTGGCCCGAGTATGTGCTTCCAAGCGGACAATAGCTGAAATATTCCTTCACAAATACCTCTTTCGCTGTTATTTTAAACAATTGTTTACATCTGTTCGTCGTGCTAATTTGATTTCCGTCAGAGAATGCTGGATAAGGCCAATGGAAATGTCCGAATAACAAGTGGCGATTGTTTAATTAATTGAGAAGATATAAGAAAGGATTGTTTATCTGTTAAAGGGGATTCGGTTTATTGGTCTCCTTTCGAGGAATATAAACAAGCAGAGGCAATTCTAAGATTACATTGCAATTAGGAGCACATGTAAGGAATGTGGTCGTTAAGTACTAGAAGTCACACACACCTTTTAACCCTGTCGTGCAGTGTCTCGGATGCTCCCGGACGCAGGTTCGAATCCTCGTCACGGCCCTTGTGGATTTGTTTACTAGAAGGCAATTCTACTATTTAAGCGTTGAGTGGAATTGGGTACCAGTCAGCTGTTAACGAGACTAGAAAGGTTCTTTCACTTTCAAAAGTGAGGGCTTCGCTTCTTGCAGGGTTCTGTGCTCGATCCCCAATGGTCTAGGTGGTGCGATCCCGTTCCTTCCCTCCCTCAGCCCTCATAGGCCATCTCATCGTAGTCATAACCTGTTCATTTATGAGGAGAAAACGCTAAGCTAGAACCCCTATATAGCACTTGGAAGAGATATAGAGACAAGGAACCATGATAAAACGTAGGGAGATAACGATGCCCAACCACTTTGACCTTCGGAGATCGAACATCGACCTACAAGAAGCGAAGCTGTCGCTATATCGACCAGTTCAATTTACCCTTGACTTAATGTTTGAAGTTGCCATAAAAAAATTATAATGCAGCAATCTGACAAAATGTCAACCACATATTGGCCATATTGGTTCCAGCGCCGTGGAGAGGGTGGACCTGCTGCATGGGTAACAGCTTCTCCCCCGTATCAACTTACCCTGGCTTTGCGCCCTGGTGAGGCCACTCCAGACCGACCACCAGAGCGCAACTCCATAGTCTCCTGAGACTGATGGATGCCTACTACTATTATTGGCCAAACGACCTCCTAATTTTTGTCCCTAAAACAATTTAGAAGAAATTTTTTACCTGAATTATCCCATTTTATGACCGTTTAACCTCCAGCCCCGAACAGACAGCCAGAAAATCTTATAGAGACTGATTTAGATGAACAAATCCAAAAGGGCCGTGACGAGGATTCGAACCTACGTCCGAGAGCATCCCAGACTTAATCGACTGTGCTACGACATGGTAAAAAGAGTTGAAACCAGAAGTTCTACTGAACTTATTTGGTTTCTACTGAACTTTGTTCATTTGATGCATCACGCTATTGTGATTTCTGTGTGTACTGGTATCGATCCAATCATTATTATTAAGCCTTATTAAAACTTTAAGTTGAAGTCTCGCGAGATCAGGAAACCTAAGTATTCATGTACGATGACTCCATACCATCTTGAGGTTATCTTGAGATGATTTCGGGCCTTTAGTGTCCCCGCGGCCCGGTCCTCGACCAGGCCTCCATCCCCAGGAAGCAGCCCGTGACAGCTGACTAACACCCAGGTACCTATTTTACTGCTAGGTAACAGGGGCATAGAGTGAAAGAAACAGTGCCCATTGTTTCTCGCTGGCGCCCGGGATCGAACCCGGGACCACAGGATCACAAGTCCAGTGTGCTGTCCGCTCAGCCGACCGGCTCCCCATGGAGCCCAATGCCCCACCATGGAATTAATTCATCTGCAATATTATTAACTTCATCATTGCTTTATTTACAGTCACTTAAAAACGCTCGATTTATCAGTCTGAAGGAAATAAATTTATTCTGAATATGGGAACGGAAATAAAGCAGAGTACCTGTGTGAATAATTATTCTTAGAAGATAAAACGATGCTTAGGTTGTATATCTTAAATGTAAGATTTTAGTGATGGAGAGAGAGAAGAATAGAGTGAGAGAGAGGGGAGAGATGGGAAGAGAGGGTGGAGAGGGAAAGAGAGGTGTGAGAATAGACAGAGGGGAAAATATTGGGAAAGAGAAAGGTGTAAAGAATGGAAGAGAGGATAATCCAGGCAGAATTACATAAGATTTATATACAAGACGCTACCAGTTAAACCTCAGATTCTGACTGGTAGAAGTGGCTACGACTCCAGACTATGTGCTGGTCTTATTTGACCAGACCACACACTAGAAGGTGAAGGGACGACGACATTTCGGTCCGTCCTAGACCATTCTCAAGTCGACTGTCGTCAACTTGACGACAATCAAGCCGAAACGTCGTCGTCCCTTCACCTTTTAATGTGTAGTCTGATCAAATTACTTTAGCCACGTTATTGTGACTCATCGCCTGCATGTGATGGTGGTCTTACCTTCCCGGAGACCGTCTTAGCGAGGGAGGTGGTCAGAGGGAGGAGGTCCGTCATGATGCAGCCCTCCAGCGCCGTCATGATGTCCTCTACAGCACAACCTCCTCCACCGGATTCCTTAGGTTCGTCGTCGAAGTCCACAGGACCTTCGTCGTCCACGTCTTCGCCGTTACCTCTCAAAGCCCACCACTCCTCCCGATACATCCCTGTAGATGGGAAGGGAAAATAGAAGAGGCAGTTCTTCCACAGTTTTTTATGTCGTGGGAAAGGTGGAGGCGGTCACATCGTGATGGGAAGGAATTTTACAGTTCATTCTCTATTCAGCTTCTGGATAAACACAAGAATTACAGTTCTTGTAATAGCAAAATATCCTTTTTGCATACAAGAGATTACAGCCTGTCCTCACACTTAAGCTCCGTAGAATTGACTCTTCATCTGAGTAAAGATCATCGAACTTTAATGGATAAGGTGAATGGCCAGGCTTGTACGCTCTTGGTTACGTTTAACCATTGCAAATTGAACGTTGCTCAAATTTATTCCTTACAATTATGGCAAGAAAAGAAGAATGTTCCACTTAACTTTAATACCTTAACTACTATTACTACTGATACTACTACTACTATTACTACTACTACTACTACTACTACTACTACTACTATTAATAATACAATTATTGCTCGAATAATATAGTTGTATAACTGTAAATACAACAACACAAATTGCTCGACCTTATAAGAACATAGAGATAAACAGACACTCAGACAAAGATATAAAGTCGACAGGTAAGAAAGTGCACAGACAGAGATAGACAGACGACAGGTAGGGGAAACGACAATCTAGACAATAAGAGGTTATGTAGCGTCTCTCTCCATCATCTTCAACTGTTCAGCATTCTTCAAAACTCCAAATTCAGCATTCTTCAGAATATCCTCAGCATATTTTTATTGCTGAGGATGGTAAGGAAGACACAGGTACAAAAAAAACCTAGGTAGAGATGGAAGAAGGAGAGAGGGAGGGAGGGAGTGAGAGGGAGAGACAGTGAATGAGAGAGAGTATAAAACAGAGATTGGAGAGAAGGGAGAGGTAGGGGGGAACTGAGGGCATGGAGAAGTGCGATGAATTAAGGAAGAGGGAAGAAAAGGGGACGAGAAAAAGGTAAAACACAGAAGTGTACAGAGGGTTAAGAAAGATGAATGTAGAATTAAATAGACGCAAAAGAAGAGAGAGAAAAAGCAATGTTGGAGAGTGTAAAGTGACCCCCCCCCAAAAAAAAATACCTAATTGTTTAACGCGAAAGGGGAAACCCGGATATGCGGAAAGGGTGGAAGTTATCAAAGTGGAAAAGGTGTGAAGAGGGAGGGGGAGGGCAAAAAGGGTGACAATAATAACAAAATTAAATAGGTATCATAGATCAGTGCAGAAAAGCTGTGAGACGATCGAGCATCAATTGCTTCGTTCGGGAATTGTTACCACACAAAATTCTCCTCAAGCATCGAGGGGAAATAAATGGTTTTCCCCCCTTGGTATTTGACCCGGAAGAAGAAAGGTCATGACCCAGTGTTGTACAGGACCAATTACTCCCCGTGACTCGACGTGACCTCCTCCTGTTATTTACACGACAGGTTACGACTCGGAATTAAAATTAATTTCACATGGTGGAACCCTGACAATTATTTTCTGGACCCATATGACTTTAAAAATATTTATATGACCTTTGTGGCCTGAATATGACGTGATGTGGCATGAATATGACCTGGTGTGACCTGAATATGACCTGATGTGGCCTGAATATGACCTGATGTGGCCTGAATATGACCTGATGTGGCCTGAATATGACCTGATGTGGCCTGAATATGACCTGATGTGGCCTGAATATGACGTGATGTGGCATGAATATGACCTGATGTGGCCTGAATATGACCTGATGTGGCCTGAATATGACCTGATGTGGCCTGAATATGACCTGATGTGGCCTGAATATGACCTGATGTGGCCTGAATATTACCTAGTGTGTCCTGAATATTACCTAGTGTGTCCTGAATATGACCTAAGTGTCCTAAATATGACCTGGAATTATATACGACTGAAAGGGATATCACGTGGATATATATAGTTATGTGAGCTGAAAGGTCAGAGGTATGTGATCAGACCAGGATGATCAAGAACCCTGTGGAGAGTTGTGAGAGCCAGATTAATATGATAGACCATTGTGAACAGAGGGGGAAATTAAGGATGTGTTTGTGAGTAGTGTGAGGGTAGTCGTGACTGCCCACTCAGGGCTGTCATTCACACCTGAGTGTTGTCAGCTGAGTGTGTTTACGTGGTTGGGCTGAGAGGAAGGAGTCTGCTGTCTCCTGTGATAGATTATGTGCATTGTGTGCATGAGAATATTCATGTTAGTTCCTAATACTGATCTCTGTGGATCAGCTGGTAGCTACTTTTGGTTCTCTCCTTTCAATGTGACTGTCTGGCTTCTGTCGCTTATAGGCAGTGTGTGTGTGTGTGTGTGTGTGTGTGTGTGTGTGTGTGTGTGTGTGTGTGTGTGTGTGTGTGTGTGTGTGTGTGTGTGTGTAGCGGTCGATAGCGCCAGCTGGCTCAAAAGGACGACCGTAACCACCTAACTCATACGGTTGTTCCAGCTAGATTAGTAGGAAAAACTTCACTTGGTTCAGGAGAAAAAATATGACCAGCTGACGATTAAAACGGTCGATCAAGCCAGGTGGTTAACGAAGACAACTTGCCCAGCTGACTGAGACATTCCAATCGAGCCAACTTGGTCAGGAGAACGGCGTGCCAGCTGAATCAGTCAAAGGGTCAATGGAGCCAACTGGCTTTACATAACAGTCCAAAAGCCAAGTAAAACCAAAACTATCTTTTCCTATCTAAACTCTCCTTTGTTCCAGCCAAAAAGCATTATCAAAGGACACAGTCGGTTTGACCGACACAACTGCTACCTGGAGGTTTAATACCGGAAGCGAACACAAGCCAGCGATCGAGCAAGCCGCTGATATAGGCTACAGGAAGACAAACTGAGCCGAACGGACCAGGTATAGTAGACAGGTGGGCCCCCAATAGCTGTCAGGAGGGCGACCATCACCCCCCCCCCCCCACACACACACACAAGCAGTTTGTAATGGGATGCGTGTGTGGGGGGAGGGAGGAGGGGAAGGGGGGGGGAGTAGTGGGGTGGGCTCAGCTTACAGGCGGGTCTAAGAAGACGCCGCCTGGACCCCAAACGTCACTCGATAGTATTTCCTTGTGGGGTCGAGGCTATTTTGTTTATGTCTCTTTTATCTGTCTGTCTGTCTGTCTGTTTGTCTCTCTCTCTCTCTCTCTCTCTCTCTCTCTCTCTCTCTCTCTCTCTCTCTCTCTCTCTCTCTCTCTCTCTCTCTCTCTCTCTCTCTCTCTCTCTCTCTCTCTCTCTCTCTCTCATTACAGTATTCAATGCTCTCTCAACTGAAATGATTCAGCTGCAGTTGTCCTTTCTCATCACATTTCTCCACTGCCTGTCTTCTGTATCTCACTCACGTCCCGCATCTCTCACTCTACTTCTCGCCCCTCTCACTCTCC